TGATCCTCCTCTGGCTGTGGGAACGGGCCCACTGAGGAACACATCCATGTTGAGATTTTTAACTGCATTCAGCAACTGAATAAAATYCTTCTTCAGGATTTCTGACTGTCGGTTCATMACTTCATCATTTCCTGTATGAATGATGAGCTTCTTCAGAGAYGGATACTCTGCTGAGWTTTGCAAYCTCATATACTCACCGTGTCTCATCGGGTGTTTCAGAGACTTTGTGAAGGAACCTGACAAAAGTAAAGCAGCTGACTCCACACCTGTAGTGACTCGGGAACTTCTCAGCTCCGTGATCCCCTTTTTGCATTTTTTTTTACTCCCGTGTTAATCCTGAGCGACGCCGTTCGTGAGAGCAGAGGAGATAGGCCCGGTTCGGAGAAGGAGGTGTCGGGAAGCGACGTAGATTGAGTTTATCTGTGAGCTCAGGCCTTCCTTTGTCAGAACAGCTCCTTCCTGAAGAAGACTCTCCTGATGAAGACTCTTTGAACCAAATCAAAGAGAAAACAGCTGACATTTGCAATTTGACCTTTCTGACTTACAAGGCAGAAATTGGCTCTGTTTCCTCCGGATTGGATTATAATAGTCTTGGTGTGTGTGCAGGTGTGCACAATGCAGCGTGTTTAGTCATGTGTGGGAAAGAATAAAAGAGTAGATTGTGGTGCATTACTCAGTCACTTCTTCATTAAGGAGCTGTTTTCCGGGAAGCGGGCGTTATTTGAAGAGCTAAACTGTCCGAGCGACGTGCAGCAACGACTAATATCCCAGTGTCCTCGTCTGAGGCAAAGTCAAACTGAACTTAAGTGTGTCTGTGTGTACTGATGAGTTTCAGCTGAAAAGATTTAGCTCTTTCTCTTGTTTGCATAAAGACGCAGCCTTCCTACACACTTCTGCTCAGTTCTAGTTTCCCTTCTCTGCTTCGTCTGGGATTTGTCCCRYAGACGAGGATTTCTCTGGCAGAATTTCAACCTGGCCAATCAGCGAACAGGAGGCGGTGCTGTGAACRACGAGTCTGCTCTTTCAGATCTGTTAGATACGCAGGCTTCACCATGGACTTTGATGTTTAAAGGGATCCCCRATTAGTTGWAACATTMGACTTTATTYGATAAACATCTATTTTAACTGTAAAACAAAGACTGTAAGTTAACTTCAACAGAGGCCACACCTCCAGCAGGAAATCATTTGTCAATATCCCTGAGCAAAAAGTAGTATACTTGGGTATACGTTTGTCAAGTATACTAGGCACCGTACACTTGTAGTGTACTAGAAAATATACTGATTCAATACTTGTTCATTCTAAATTGGGACTATTTTTTGTTTATAAATAGTATACTTTAAGTATACTGTTATAAGGTCTTTTTAAGTTTATAAACTTA